TAATCATGCGCGGCTTATACTGGCCTCCTTGGTTAAATTATCCTAACTAATATTTGCGATCGTCCGAAAAATGAAGCTTCAAATTAATACGATCATTTTCAAATAAGCGAGGACAAATAAATGGAATTACATTTGGAACTCTATGAAGTATATAGCATATTCGACGGATATTTTAAAATACCGTGAAAAGTGGCGAATTAATTAGACAAGATATCACAACTAAGAACAACGATATATAGCAGGAGTACGACCGCAATTTACACTTTACGAACAACGAAGTTTCTCATTGTCGTGCAATTTTTCAATTTCTCCCTGTTCGAAACACCGAACTACATTGCGTTAATTATGATACGACGTGCCAGACGCGTATCGACGCGTAAACCTCGAGTCAGAAGCAAACTTCGGGAACACCTGTAGGCGTCGACTTGAACGCGACATGTTCGAGTAATTCATGCAAAAGAACATGAAAGAGAGAACAGAATTAGAACGGTTCGCGGATCGAAGCGTGACGATAACGCCGAAGTGATCTTTCCAATTTCCAGGAGAGGGATGATGAACTACGTTAATTGGTGTGCGGAGGTGGAGAGCGAGGTGGTTTATCGCGAAGAGGCAACCGCCGTAAGTAGAAACAGACGGACCGCGACAGACATCTGGAGAACGGTGTTACCGTTCTGGCCGAGTAACCTTTGCAGTACGCCCGTGGTTCCGAGGGTTTCTGGGTCGAGGTAATTTTTCTGAGAAATTCTTTTACCACGGAACGAGATCCACGGGCCGGGAACCGTGGATTCTCGACGCGGATATTTCGTCGACCACGAAAACGTCGAGGGTCGGATCGGGTTTGACCGATCGCGGTTCGATATCCAGGTGGACGATGCGACGCGACGCCAGCGCGACGTAACGCGATGGAACGCGACTAGATGCGGCCAGATGCAACGCGCGGAGGGTGCACAGACAGAGATAGCAGGAACGCGTAATTTCGTTGTCGAAGGAGCGGAGCGCAGAAATCGCGCGTTTCCGGCGAAAGCAATTCGCTGTCGTTCGATCGGATCAACGGACACCAGCATCACCGGCATCACCACCACCATCGAGGGCAGCACCGCCACGTTCAGAGCATCACGTACACGCGGTTAGCCACGAAATAGCAAGCCCGGCCCCGATAGCATTGCGAGAGCGTAGGTGATATACGGTGTCGCTAATTAATGCACGATAATGAACCTGGGCGCAACCGAAGCTGTATTAATGGATTCCAATGCCCCGTCATAACGTGGACGATCCGTAGGTACATCGGAACCGTTCGTAATTGCGTTAATGGAAGGGCCCATCTGTTTGCGCTGCCGGCTTTCGGGTTACTTCTGCTCGTCACTCGTCCACCAAATAATCGCGTCCCCAAAACGAGCGTCGAGGCTGCCCGCGATTATGCGAATGTCCTATTATATCGCAAAGATTATTACTCCGTAAGCTCGATTCCCTCTGTTCACCTTTTCTTTCGTTTGAAACGGAAACGCGTGGGGAAAATCGTAGCTCATTTTTTGCACTCGAGCTTTGCGGAACGAACGTCGTAAGTGCAATAACCAGATCGATGTATCCGCGAAAACGCGATCGACCGAAAAAAAGAATAGCGAATTATGCATCGGTATACCGAATCGGACGTACCGGACGTACGTCTCAGGGAAATAATCGAATGCGAACTTTTTAACGATCACCTTCGGGTTACGTATTATTATTCGATGTTAATATATTCGATATAATATTGGAATATTCGCGAGCTTCCGATCGTATGAACGTAAAGCCGGCCGCAATGGCTAGAATCACTGCGCATTATGCTTCAGGATCGTGATTGTAATTTGCGTGTGTCGCGCGAATCCATAATAATAATCTCCTAATTAACGCATGGACCCAGACGATTATTCGCGGTTTCGTTCGGCGCATCGAAGACCAGCTGCCTTTCGTTCGCGGCACTGATTAAGAATGGATTGCTCTATTCTGTTGATAAGCAGGACTTGCAAATATACATATATATCGATGCTCTATTTAAAGAAGCCACTTCGATGCACTTTTTGGAGCCGTTCGCAGGGACCTTGAAGTATTTAAAGATCTCGTAAGAATTTTTTGAACGTCCAAGCAAGGTTAAAAGGTCCTGTCGAGGACTACGCAAGGCCTGTGGTGCTCGCGAAAATTTTTCGAATGTCTTTGGGACATTGTCTGGAGTTCCTAGAGGGTCTCGTGGGTCTTTTCAGGATGCTCGGGGGCTAGAAATTAGTCGTAATCGATCGATGATTATGTAATTCGGGAAAGACTGGTCCGCGGGACCTCGAGACGACGGTACAATGTAAATTTCCAGCTTACGCTTTTAATCCCTTTAACCGCGCCACCCCTAAAACTTAATCCACTATTAGTTTTTGCAGTGACAGCCCTAATTCCTGCCCGGTGGTTATAGTGATTATAATGCAACTTCTAACTAGGATTAAGTTGGCGGCTGTTCGTTAAATTATTATGCGAGGCGCGCCACGAACGACGCGGCGCTCGAAAAGTAGGCGGTCCTCGCGCGAGAGAAGCATGCGAATTTCTTCGACGAATACAGCAAAAAATGAAGACGCGCCAATCGAGAAATCCTATGTCAACGAAAAAAAAAGGAAAAAATAACCTACTCCGAGCCTGTTGAAATGAAGACGCGCCAACGATTGGACTCGTTGAAAAGTAAAAGATCGAAAATAATCGAACTTTCAAATTAGAGAACAGCGTAACAAGATCGAATTGGTTCGTTTCGAATTTCGATTGGACGTACGGGACGACGTTCGCCCGTCTGTTAAACTTAAACAAACCGAGTTCAATTGTAGAAATTGAACCTTAACTGTTACACCTATTAAAACTTACGTAACTATTATCACCGGTGAAAATTTAGTGGTTGATCGTCGACGCTGAACGTATGTTAATCATTTTCCTTACGATCATATTATCACCACAGACGAATAAGCAAACAGCGGTCCCACAGACCGGCAATAACAGTTAATGAAATCGATGAAACCATGATCGTGTTCGAAACAAAATAATGAGATCCTGTGACGAATTTTTCAAATCGGTGCACAGTGGCCGAACGTTTCATTTCGCCAAGGCATCGTAAGACCGTCGAGCGACGGGACCACCTTCGTAGAAACACCATGGAAATCCCGTGAAACCAGGGGGAGGGGGGGGAGGCGCGCGTGCGACTCGCATAAACGCTCGGTCCCGCGACGATGGGAACAGGAAGAAGCGGAAACAGCGGCCTCGAGGACGAAAACTCGTCGTAGACGAGCCGGAACGTTAGACGAAGATGCGCCGGGGCCGCAGGGGGCACGGGGACGAGAAAGGGGGTGGAGGCCGCGGGAGGAACGAGAGAACGAGGGAGGTGAAATAAAAGAAACGGGCGGGAAAGGCCAGCGGGATGAAGCAAGTGAGAAAATAGTAAAAGCGAGATAGGAAGGGAGCGCAGCAGCGCGACCAGAATTGGATAGGATAGGAGAACTGGTGATTACAGAGGCCGGGAATTCCGTGGGGAGAGGCACCGGTCCCGCGGGTTTCCACCTAATTCCATCCTGGCTGACTACTGACTCTGTCTCCCTCTTTTCATCTTTCTCTTTCCATCCCGTTTCTCTCCATCTACCGCGGCAGCCACTCTACACGAGTTCTCCTCTTTCTCTCTCCCTCTCTATATATCTTTCTCCCTCCGTTTCCCTTCCCACACCCCTTTAACTATCCTCCCGTCTTCCCTCCTCGCCTGCTGCTTCTTCCACTTTCTCCCTCTGAACAGGGTGGTCCGTCATCGGCGAGAAATAACTGTACCAATTTTTACGCGCGTTCGCTGAATTTGTTCGCCGGCAGCTCGTTCTCTCTCGGTTTTCTTTGACCCTGACACATCGCGGCGACCGGGTCGTTTTGACCCAATTGCGGCTGTCCCCGCGTTTATTAGTTCGATTCGATTCGCTCCGCGCAACAAAAATGTTCGAAATGCCTTTTTCTCGTCGTCGTGAGTTCGTCGAGATACGAGGCGGAGAAGTGTTTGTGATCAATACTTCGTAGTGTCTAAATCGCTAATTAACCCTTTTAGTGCCGGTCAAAAGAGTCGCGCGCGCCTCGGCGAAATATATACAAAACCGGTTTCGATGTGGTCTGATAAAGCCTCGGAAAGAAATTCTAAAGCTGACAACTAGGAAATTCAAAGAACGGGTTAAGAAATAATATGTTATTTATTATTAATTAGAATTACTGTTACTTATTAGAATTGCTAAGGAAATGATAACTTCTCGAGCATGGCCAACAACGATGCATCGTTGTTCGACTGTAAAAGGGTTAATGCAAGAACTGCGCAACGTGCAACAGCAATCGGTCGGTGGTGTTTCGACGATGTTTTGCTTGCGGAGAACAGAATGAATACATGACACGATTTGTATCTGCAGCAACGTCTTTCGCAACGTATCACCGGTGACCAGTCCCCTGTATTTGTTAATTCGTTGTGAAATATTTCTCACGTTTCCGCGTTTCCTACCACGGTTTATCGTATTCTCAAATTTCACGGTGATATCCTTTCTTCTCCGTCCGAGAAGCCCCAAGGACCCCGATAAAGTTCGAATCGCACACGTGCCATCGGTCACGAATTCATAAACACGGAAAAACGAACGTGAGAGAACGGTGAAAAACGTTGCGCCGTCAAGGCCGACGCGGCTTCTGCATTTTCGAATTCCTATGCTTCCGTTTGAATTGTTTCTAGCACGCGCCAATTACGAGATACAATAATGGATTCAAATAAAAGTGTCATGGCTGACCGTTTCGCTGTTGCGCGCCAATTTAGACGTTCTCGAAGACAACGCAACGATCCATCTCGTAATGAGATTTTCAAATGAATCCGTTTATATCGCATTAAAGGACTAATTAATTTGACTGTAAGTCTTCTAAGAGGTTGCAATGTCAACTCGGCCATGCCGTAAAGATTGGATGAAAGAACGAGGAAGAGAAGGATTACTCACGTTTGAGAGATCGCGGCTTCGCCTGCTTCCTCCTGGACATAGCAGCGTGGCGTTCGTCACTCCGCTGGCCGGATCGCCAATGACAGCTCAGCAGAAACGTGGATCCCAGTCACATTTCGCACTTCCTTCGGAAACTCGATACGATCCGCGCACTGAAAACAACGTCCGTCGCGAAACCGCACCGTTAACAAAACCCGCCGGTGGTCCCTGCCTCGCGAGACACGCAACCGTTAATGAAACTGTCGCGGTAACGTGGACGCGACGAGGAACGACATCGCGCGAATTCGAACGAGGAAAAAGTATCCGGTTACCCGCGCGACGTTACCATGGCGACAGGGAGTAACATCTCGTTGCGACAAGTCGCACGACCTGCGCTGCAGCTAAGAATTGTGTTTATCACGTTCGATATGCCACATTGTTCTGTCGACGATAAACTATCGCGTTCGGTCCTCGTCGATCACCGAAATGTAGTTCGAAAATGCGGCGAGTGAATTGCAATTTGTTACACGACACGACGTCGATGGGAAAACGAATAAAATCGGTGCGTCGTTGGACGCGTTTATTTGGGAGAACGATTCTCGTGCACCGGAAACCACGTGGCTCCAATTCAAACTCGCGTGTCCACACGGTACAACATGTCGCGACAGATTGGAACGATCAACGAGCGCGACTCGAAAGTCGCGCGACGAATGACTGCGTACCTGATACCGCAAACTGCCTCACGCAGAGAACCACTGGGAACGAACTGCGCACGCGCCACCCTTACTGATAGCGTTCCTGCGCAATCCCTTCTAATCTCGCGTCAACCCTTGGACAGACAACTGTCTCTGCAACAAAACATGCGAACGTTTCTATCACATTGTATACTGTTTTTTTCAGAGAACAGATTGCAAATATGTTCATGATCATAATAGCTGCACTCTGATACAATCTGTAATAGCAGAGAGAGAGAAATGTAGTGGACAACTAATATAACTATGAGCTTACTACAAAACGAAATTTTCCATCGAAATCTTTACGTGTACTTTTTGTACCTAATTCATATTAGGTTGACCCAGAAGTTCCTTGCCTAATATGCATGTCTGATACTGTTACACAATATGAACCTAAACCTTTACTTTACTTAGCCGCACTATTCGTTTGCTTAAAAATTCTAAATTCACGCTGCTGAATTCACCAATTCACATTGGCTGAAAACAAAACGAATCTTTGGGACAACCTAATACTTTAACTAAGCAAGAACATCAATGAGCTAAACTTTTTAAAAACTAGATAAATTGGACCAAAATCATTTTCACCATAGAAAGATAGTAGTAAATTAGTATATAATGTAATATTCCATTATTTCCATTCGCCAGTCTGTCCCACATAAGATCTATTGTTTGAAGTTTGGTGGTTACGATATTTCATCAGAATTCTACATTGCCGACGTGAACGAATGACCAGTTGTCCTGTACAAACAGATAATAAGTTCATTGTTATGACACCTCAAAGATTGATTTTGTTTTGGATACATTGAAGTCGAAGTAAAAACCACGATATAATCTGTCTGTTTCTCGAAACCTTCGTCGATTGTGTTTAAATTTGCAACATTCTACGTGCCTACGACTACGATCTTTGAATAGGTTAGAATTCCGACAGTTGACAAAAAGATTGTGTTAACGTGTTAACCCTCGAACGCAGGGTTATATCGACCCAATTGTAACTTTTGCCACTGTAACTGTTCATTTGTTCAATTAATTATTTACGTATGTAACATATGATATATGATGTTGAGAAAGTGCACACGAGCTATTATAATCAAAATATTGCCTGCGTTTTTCCTTGATTATCAATCGTTCGAGAGTTAACAAAATTTTGAATTATAAGATTTCTTAATCACGACTGTCATAATTACAGATACAATCATGCTGTTGCTGGAACGAATCCCAGACCAAATTGGATATTTGGTTTTAAAAGAAGATGGAGCGGTATTAACGGTAATTATTTTGTTAATACAATGTACCGAGAAAAAAGGAATTGATCAATTTAATTTGTTACAGTCTGGAGGTGAATTGGAAAATGACGAAAGGATTGCAAACATTGTTTTGGGTCTTGTCACATTGACAAATAAAATTGATCCTAAGGGATTTCCCAGCAATGAAGCTTTTGACAAGATATCCATAATATATCCAGATCATTGTTATATTATTTGTCTTTCAAATAAAAAAATTCATGTAGTTAAGAAAAAATTAGTTTCTGCAACTACTGCTGTTGTAGAGCAGCAACCTCATGTTGATGTATAAATGAAACTACTGTAATATTGTACAAAGATAAGATTGTGTATAAACATATGAACACAAAACTATTTCCAATAAATATATAAGACATTCTTAAACTTTCTACATAAATCATTGAAAAGTGTAAAATAATTTTGAAGATCTGGTGTCAAATCAAATTATATATAAGGTAGATAATATTTTCTTCCTTACATGAAGTTTGTTGACATAATGTACAAGTATAATGCATTGTTAGCAGAAAATAGTACAAATTGTATTAATTACACTTATAACTTATATTACACACGCTACTTCTAATAAATACTAAAAATCATTGTCAGTATCGGAACTATCGTAAGTGACTAGCGATGTACGTAACGTGGTGGTCACTGTTTCAGATGTCGACGGTTGTGGCTTTAACTCTGGTAGTTTTGGTATTTGACTTTTGTGTTTTTTCACATCGCTGCCTGAGGATACCGACGATAATTTTCTTAATTTGTCTTGCAAACGCACAGCAGAAACCAATCGTTTCAAGGGATGAGGCTTTTTCTTTCCATCTGTAACATGTGAAACAGGTATTGTAATCACCAGTGAAAATATATTATTTAAAATACCATACCTTTCTTATGCATCAACAACTTTGCTAATTTCACATCATCTTCATGTTCATTCACCAAATCAATATTCAACCCATTTTTTTGAAGCAGCATGTGGTCAATACCTTGCTTCTTCTGTAATTCTCTTTTTCTTGTCTGAAATTCAGCACATTTAAACGCAATAAATTAATAATTAACACAGATGCAATATATAACTGAATAACAATTACACAAGTAATTGCACAATAACAATTACATATAACATACTCTAAATGCAGTACGTAGTTCACAGTTTGAAGTGTAATCATCTTTCCATGCAGCTTCATTAAGTGCTATTGCACTCTCTAAAGAGGAATCACGTGACTTTGCTGTCTTTTTATCTTCTATACCATGCTCTAACTTATACATTGCATCATCGTAAAGTCTGCAAGACACTTCCTTGGTTTCTGGTACTATTTGCTCATTTTCTTTGGGGTCCCACCTATTTTCTTGTCGTCTAGCTCCACTAACTATTACATAATCTAGGTTCTGTAAAACAGCATATTCATTAAGCTTTGTACAACTAACAATATTGGCTTTTACTACAAACATCTTACTGCTGGATCTGTTTTAATTTCAAAATGATTATCACACAGATGACATTTCATACGAAACTGATACAGAGGTGTGCTATAATACATTCCAATTTTCTTCTTCTCTGCATTATAACGCACACCCATTCCTATGTGATTGCCACATCCATCACACCATATATTGTATGGCATCTCAAATCTGATAATAAGGATACCCATGTGTAATTTACGTGCTCTTTCACGTAACGCATGGGTTCCCAAAAATTTGTTAAGTCCCCCAACCTTTGGATCATAATCAGGGGGGTAATAAAGATTTGTCCCTTTACGTTCACCCATTGTGTTCTACAAATTAAACAAATTTTTCAAAATCATTATATTAGTCGTATCTTATACGTAAATGTCAAAATCCTTAACATCCAAACACATGAAAAACAAACAGTAAACTTTTAATGATGTACGAACAATATTATTCTACCATTGTTCTAAAACGTATAACTATTACCTTGCTTTTTTACTATGTATCCTACAACAAGATCCTGCAGGAAATATTATATTATATCAAAATGTATTTAACCTCACTTTTGTCTTCAGTTCCTTCCTCCACCTACCTAATAACTGAAACATTAGATTGTCTGTTTAGAGATGGCGTGGCGAATGTAGATTCGTCCTAGCGACAACAAAATATTTTCGTATTGAAATGCAAACATATTGTAAATTACATTTACACATTTTTTATAATAAAAGTGTTCAAATAAAAATATTCTTTAATCTAAACAATAAGTCTTTGGGTAGGATAGTTCAAAAGGACTTGTACATTAGTTGTGCGGTGGAATACTTCTTTATTCTTTCGCGGACTTTGTCTCTCGACGAGTCGCGGTGCAGTTCTGAGCTTCGTTTTTTCACTCGCAGTTTGCCGTGGTAAAATTCTTGAACAACCCTGATTGGCTAACCCCACGCGTTGGGCCTTCCCAATCAGCGTTGTTCATTTTGCCCTTTTTACCGCCTGTCCCTTACGCTCTTTGCGTATTTTCGGGACGGCATGGTAATCGGAGGGGATGAGCTGTACGTGACAACGTGTGGAGCTTTTCCTCCGGGTCACCCGCGTCGGACCACATGGCCCTTGGGTCGCTGGGTCCGCTTCGAGTACCCTTCGGAAACTCTCCTAATTTATGACAGTTTTCCGTTAGCTATTGAGGTATCTCTAAAAAAATCTATTGCGAACATGCGCTGTCAAGGTTTGGGACTTATCATCTCAAAAATAGCTTCTTCGAAGTAGAGTCATAAATTGGTCGTTTGCACGAGGACTGGAGTTTCCATTGTGCGCACGACTGGTCGCTACAAGTCCATTTTATAAGTTTGCAGAAAATCCTTTATAAAATTCTTTTATTTCACATATTTTTATAAAATACAAGATTATAGTATAGATATAAAAACTATGCAATGCACGATTGTCCGTAATTCAGTAACAAAATATCTGTGCTTAAAATAATGTCTGTTAAAAAATTATTGCATATATTTTGTGATGGAAAGGACGAAAAAAGAATGCAATGGGAGGGTACGTTCTAATAATGAAGTTAAATTACGGAAACATAATAATAAAGTACAAACTTTACTATCTGGTCAACTTACGTAAACATACGTATACTACTTAATACATACTAATACCTTTAAAGACAAAAACTAAATATTCTACCAATATAAAAATTAAAGAAATATGTTCGCATCTTTTCTAAAAACTGAAGATATTTTTTAAAACTACTATTCAAAATAAAATTGAATTTCTTAATACTAGTATTTGGATGATCTTTCAGTCAATTATGCAAAAGAAAAAGAAAAAATAAAGTAAGATGTCAACATGAAGATTACAAAAAGTACAGAAGATTCTGCATCTGAGAACTTGGTGGTCGACGTATGAATTGCGATACCAAAAATGCTAGTTTATGAGCATATTGACATGGTGCAGGTACCCTAACGGTACCGGACCAATTATAATACATATGAGTTAATTTGTACGTCATTCTTTGCATCTGGTCTGCTTTCCAGCCTGTCGTGTCCGCGATAACATTAAATGCGCAAGGTGTGACCGTACCTTGTCGTACGCTTTGAGATATAATGTAGAAATCATACCTCATCGGATTGGTAACTATATCATCTACTACAGTACCCGGCGGCGGATTATTTTGATTATAAAAGAATCGAGTGTTTATACGTTTCGTAACAATTATAAATGCCATTTTTACCGGGGCTTCGCCATAAATACTGTTCAATTTTGCTCTGATTTGTTCAACTTCATGTTCGAACACTTGGTTTACTTGACCCTCTCCTACACCATCGCGATATATCACGATATGCGACGGCAGACATTTATTTGTCTGTCTATAACAATGTAATGCTCTGGTTAAATTGATGGAGAACTCGTTAGACAATTCTTCGCCGGAGGTATGCGCACTTACAGCGCTGAAATATCTAGTTAAACTATTATCTAATGTCGCGACCATAGCACCATAGTCACGACTCTTATCATTTGGATCGTGACACACATCGAAGCCGACAATCATTAAATTAATAGGCGGTAATTCAACGCTCCATGGAGCACCGCCTAATTTGCACGTCATCTGAATTGCTACCTTCGTAGCAACCGACCTAGCATTTTTAGTGAGATTCTTTGCTAGAAAGACTTGTGAGGGTACCGGCCTATCTACTACACATTTCTTCTTGATAGCACCATATCGGTCAGCTCTGTTATTAGAGACAACGCAATAGACTAGCTCCGGATTAGAACTGCTCATTATCCTCTCCAAGGTTTCAGAATACGTATTCGACCTATCATCATTGATGTCCCAAAATCTTGGAGTAGCAAACTTGCAGCCCATTCCATTGGCCACCTCTTGCAAAATTTGTATAAATCTCTGCATAAAAAATGTGTTAATAAATTAAAACTACAGACTGGCAATGTTGACTGTTTCGTGAAAATTTCAAATATCTTACTTCAACTTCCCGTCTCATACGAGACATACAGATTACAACCCAATTACTTAACTGCACCACATTGAATAGGTTTTTATTGTGCAATTCTCTGGTCCAATCAGCGAATTGTCCGGATGAAACTTTCTTGTTACCACCAAGCACTATAACTTCTTTTGGTAATATGCGCGATGGTATGTCAACCAGCTTTTGATCAAGTTTTAAATTCCAATCGTTAAGTTCTTGTACTATCGCGCGTTCAGAACTAAGTCTTCTATTGAACATCATCAATTTATCTATACGCGATCTTGGAGCTACACGCGTATGTTCCGACAGTGCTCGCATCAAGTGGAAATTTCCACGCATGTCATCAGTTAAACCTACAACCAAGGTGTTTCATTATAGAATACAATGCTTACTAAATAATCAGGAAATAAGAGTAAAACAGACCTGTTGCACGACATAATTCAGGAATCAAATATATTAACTCGGTTTGACCCGCACGCCGTTCTCTTGGTTTTACCCTTGACACCAACATTGGTTGTGAGTCGTTACAAATTTTGATTTGATATTTATTTTTGTAGTAATCTCTATATGATATACTTTCTCCGCTTCTCAATTGAAACGTTGAGCTGGGATTTGAATCAAAATCTATATCCGTTACACGGTACGTGTTATTATTGTAATCCGTAAGAACAACTAAACCTATAACTTTTTCTTGAAACGCTCTCTGAAAATTAACGTGATCCACCATAAACATATGACCACAGACATTTATCTTACAATGAATACTTTTACCTTATAATCCCTGGTATTCTCCCGATAGCAGTCATTCAAGATATCTAGAAGGGTTTGTTGGCGCATCACTTTGTGTATTATCTCAGCACACATGAGAATATCATTTTCGTGTTGTCTAATAGAAGTAGTGTATCCCGGCCAGAGTTCTAATCGAAAGTCCCGCACTTCTATCTGTATCGTAATTAACATCATGTAAATATTGCATTCGGACATTGACGAATAAATATTACTACACAACATACATATATCAGAATAAGGTTCATGTTACACTTGCCTTGCTACGCGCATCGAAGTAATCGCGTCCAACAAGTTGGAGTTTCAGGAGATCCAAACATTTTCTCATGATTATATTAAAGAATTGAAGATAGTGTTGATCTCCCTTAGCCATATCTCCAACGAGACGTATAGTAATTCTTATCTTCTGGTCGTCCGATTGTCTAACAGACCAGAGCTCGAAATTCTGAAATTTTCATTGCAACATTTATAATTCTAGTGTTGAAACTTTACACAATAAATTTTTCAATCCAAAATCCTACATCTTGTAAACGTCGGCTTGTATAAAGTACTGTTCCATCGAAGACGTATGCTCCTACAGTTTCCCTGTGTAATCTAAGAAGACCTTTTCTCACTACTGTGCGATCTTCTTCCGGTGCAAAGTCAACTCTATACTGGTATAGACACCAGTCTGTAGTAGCAAGTAACTTAAAATAATTTGCCTGGAGAGTTACTGGTTGACCAGTTGTTCCTATAAGTTATAAAGGTTTGAATATAATTCGTAATATCAAGTAAATACACACATTACGTCGAATCAAAAGATATCTGCAAACCTATTTTGGTTGCTAAATTTGCTGGCTTTGTATGTATTTCTGGAAGTATTACTCTACGTCCACGCATAGCTCCTCTTCCCAGTGCCACAGCATCACCACCGCCGCCGTTGCCGCCACCACCGCCGCCACTGTCACTGCCACTAGCTTTAGGGTCAACTATAGACACAGTTGTATACCAACAATACAAAAATATTTTCTTGCAAATTATTCAATGAATTTCTCAGTTTACCATCCATTTTTTCAGGTTCACCCTGTGCTGCAAAACCAGGCCATCTGTCGCCTCTAGAACTGAAACGCTCTGTAGCACGACCACCAGAAACCTATTGCATTAAAAAACTGAGTTATTCTTTCATTATAAACGATAATAAAATTTGAGGTATTACAAACACTTTAATTGACAAATAAACATTCAACTTATCAACTTCAATTACTACATCCTAATTGAACATTGCAGTGACAAAACTGTTGTTGTGCAGGCAATTCACAAACATGACAAGAAACAAACAAAACACTTTTAATGATTATGTCAAAATTGACAATACACAATTATACATGTTGAATTAATAACAATGATTTTGTCATTATTTAACATTCAGTTAGGACAGGGAAAAAGTAACAAGATAATACTAACCTTCGCCATCATTTTTAATGTAGGATACACTCTGCTCTAAGTAACAAAAATGAGAAGAGGAATGGAATAGTGATACTGCTCCAATTATAACTAATAATGGTCTGAAATATGTACTGGAAATAAATACTATTTAAAAACAAAAGGAAAACGTTTTGTAAGGAAAACGTTTTGTAAGGAAAACGTTTTGTAAGGAAAACTAGAATAAGGGACTTTGAAAAAGGAAAAGCATTAATATAATTTTTGACGATAGATTATTTATATACTTGGCTTGCTTGTGGTCTTGCGTAAGGTACTTGTGATGATCCTTGAGGAGGTCCTGGTTTTCGAGCCCAAGCACCGGCTGATTGCTGAGATCCATATACATCTGAGCTAGGTGAATGGTATGATGTTGATGGATCCTGGCGGTAAGACCCTGGCGCCTGAGGATGTTTTTTATCATCGCGACTCCGTCCTCTGCCACGACTTCTCCCCCTATTTTGGTCAGACATGATTCACGTGTCTAAACCTGGATACACCTAAAATTAATAAAATTACAGAATTTTCTATATAATATAGTCATAAAAAATACATGCAAGACAAATGTGTTTTAAGTAAATAATATCAGTCGGATTATTCGAAGAAAAAAACTAATTGTTTTTTTTAACTTAGATGAATTTTTTATTAATCAAAATATGCACCTCTTTAGAAAAAGTCGCGAATGAATTCCTTGGAATTTGTGAAAGATTCATATTACACAACCTAATACCTCAAATAATTAAATTTACCACTTTTTTTACGCACTATGTAATGGACTCTACCGATCGCATGGAATTCATATATGTTTACATTTAAAAACGAAAAAAACACTATTGCCAATTGCAAGGTTAAATACAGCCGAATTGAAACATAAACAAGTTTCCATTTGCCACAACTGTATGAAGTATTGTTATTAAATAATTATTGTTGTTGTTCATGAAACAAAGATTAATAATCAAATTGTTAACAAAATTCACTTGTTAATACAACATATGATCAAAGAAAGTAGCAAGTAACTAAGATTATTAACCNAATTATTCAATGAATTTCTCAGTTTACCATCCATTTTTTCAGGTTCACCCTGTGCTGCAAAACCAGGCCATCTGTCGCCTCTAGAACTGAAACGCTCTGTAGCACGACCACCAGAAACCTATTGCATTAAAAAACTGAGTTATTCTTTCATTATAAACGATAATAAAATTTGAGGTATTACAAACACTTTAATTGACAAATAAACATTCAACTTATCAACTTCAATTACTACATCCTAATTGAACATTGCAGTGACAAAACTGTTGTTGTGCAGGCAATTCACAAACATGACAAGAAACAAACAAAACACTTTTAATGATTATGTCAAAATTGACAATACACAATTATACATGTTGAATTAATAACAATGATTTTGTCATTATTTAACATTCAGTTAGGACAGGGAAAAAGTAACAAGATAATACTAACCTTCGCCATCATTTTTAATGTAGGATACACTCTGCTCTAAGTAACAAAAATGAGAAGAGGAATGGAATAGTGATACTGCTCCAATTATAACTAATAATGGTCTGAAATATGTACTGGAAATAAATACTATTTAAAAACAAAAGGAAAACGTTTTGTAAGGAAAACGTTTTGTAAGGAAAACGTTTTGTAAGGAAAACTAGAATAAGGGACTTTGAAAAAGGAAAAGCATTAATATAATTTTTGACGATAGATTATTTATATACTTGGCTTGCTTGTGGTCTTGCGTAAGGTACTTGTGATGATCCTTGAGGAGGTCCTGGTTTTCGAGCCCAAGCACCGGCTGATTGCTGAGATCCATATACATCTGAGCTAGGTGAATGGTATGATGTTGATGGATCCTGGCGGTAAGACCCTGGCGCCTGAGGATGTTTTTTATCATCGCGACTCCGTCCTCTGCCACGACTTCTCCCCCTATTTTGGTCAGACATGATTCACGTGTCTAAACCTGGATACACCTAAAATTAATAAAATTACAGAATTTTCTATATAATATAGTCATAAAAAATACATGCAAGACAAATGTGTTTTAAGTAAATAATATCAGTCGGATTATTCGAAGAAAAAAACTAATTGTTTTTTTTAACTTAGATGAATTTTTTATTAATCAAAATATGCACCTCTTTAGAAAAAGTCGCGAATGAATTCCTTGGAATTTGTGAAAGATTCATATTACACAACCTAATACCTCAAATAATTAAATTTACCACTTTTTTTACGCACTATGTAATGGACTCTACCGATCGCATGGAATTCATATATGTTTACATTTAAAAACGAAAAAAACACTATTGCCAATTGCAAGGTTAAATACAGCCGAATTGAAACATAAACAAGTTTCCATTTGCCACAACTGTATGAAGTATTGTTATTAAATAATTATTGTTGTTGTTCATGAAACAAAGATTAATAATCAAATTGTTAACAAAATTCACTTGTTAATACAACATATGATCAAAGAAAGTAGCAAGTAACTAAGATTATTAACCCTTAGGGGACCAAAACTATTTATTTCCAGTTTACACACTACCAAGTCCAGACAGTTTTTCCGACGAAGAGAAACTTTTTACTGAAAATTTTTGTATCAAATATAGATAAGAAATATTCATTTGTTTAATAAAACTTCGTTGATATATTTTCATCGAAACAATCGTGCCATCCTTCCAATATTTCCTGCCAGATTTTATGGTTTTATTGATTTCGGCCGGCATATATGGCGGCATTGGACCCTTGAGGGGTAAATACTTCTACAGTAAACTACTGCGCCTGTGTATAGTTAATGAAGAAGGTTTCACAAATAAACAATTTATCAGTCATTAATGCACGGTTTAAACGTACATAGACGCGAGTAAAGAAAAAAGTAAATACTTAAAACAAAAGCAATGTAACAAAAGATTTCAGTGTAAAATCGGATACCACATTACCTAAGCGATGTTAGTTTCGTTTACAAAGTAATTTAAGAAAATAAGTTTCATTCAAATAATGAAAAGAATTCAAACTATGTAATTTAGAAAATATATTTCGAACATATATATATATAATATTGAATTTAAAAATTCTTACAATACTGACTGCTACGAATAAAAAACTTCGATGATTTACTATAACGATGATCCCTCGTGGTAAAAATTTTAGGTTTAGGCTGAGGACACTCCCAGTAAGAAGGACTGCGATCAACTGGATGCTGGAAGAATGAACGGGTCTTTAGATTAGTCGAATTCCAACAGTGCCGTACCTATTTCTATTGTTCAAACTTTTTTTTACTTTCATTGCGAATATTAATACATATATGAATCAGAAGGTGAAAAAAGGCGATAAAATACCTAAATTGCATGAAAATAATGTATGAACTACAAAAAATTATAATATTCAAATACAAAATATATATTGAATAGGTCAAAGTTGCATGTAAACAGGGTCTTACAACACATGCGCAGTTGTTACGTTTGTGGAATTATGGGTAAATTCTTGCAAATGCAAGTTTCAAACCATAAATTATGCAGTGCTAAGAAGTTGGCCCGCATTCCGAATGCCCAGATCATACAATTGTATAGAGACATCGAAAAAATATTAAGAATATAATTAGTATGTAATAATAAAGTATTTTTCGAAAACAGTAGATGATGTATTGATCTCCTGTGTAACTAGGTTACGCAAAAGCTCTTTGCTAGGATTGTGTAAGAAATAAATATTAAATAAAATAGAAAATGAAAGAGCAAAAAATCAAATTATAGCGCCATCTTCTTGTAAAACCGAAAATTTGTACAATTTTATTTTGTATTCTTGTATTATATAATTGAAGTTATTTTTACTAATTCTCCATATTTAGTAAAAATGCAATAATTTTACAATGTTGTATATATTAGCAAATGATGAATCTAATTTTTAAAAACTTTCAGAAATTGATTTTATTTTTCACGAAATGTAATAGAAGTAACAAATTTTGAACGGCGTTCTGATATATGACATTTTTGTACAGCGTAAAAAAATTGTTGATTTTTTTTCTACATTCGACATCTTTTTACAAAATTTGTATCTTCATATGGTACATGCATTGTAATATATGTATATGTACACTCCATGTAAAAGATGGATGAAGAAAGAAAAGATGAAATCAGAGATAACACGTGGTATGGACTAACGTTCTTAACCTCCAAACAGAATGTTCAAGGAAGAAACCTGCAAAATATTTTGACATTTTTCGAAAATGGGAAAACAGAGAAAAGAGAGAAGGAAACCTCATAAGAAAAATCCAACAGGACTCCCATCTGTTAAAGATTTTAAGGAAGAAGAAGCTGAGAACATTATTGACGAAGATCGGGAAACTGCACTTCAAAGAGTATATGAGGAAGTAAGATTTTTTCCAAAATTCGAATTCCTTCAATAGAGTTATTTTTCAATCTGCTAATTTCTGCTTTTAAAAGTTAAAAATTTAAATAGTTGCGTTGTAATTATTATAGATACAGTCTGCTAATGTTGAAGAAAAATTATCAGGATTACAGACATTAGAAACAATGTCTTGTGATTCAGGATTAGCTGTGTACATTGCACAAGGCGGAATCGCTAAAATGGTAGGTCCACTGCTTGTTGATGACAATATACTTGTAAGAACAGGAAGTGCTAGTACTTTGAGGTACATCGCAGATAATGGAAAAGCTGAAGCACAAGAAAGTTTGCTGAAAGACGATATTATGACTCCACTCTGTAGTTTGTTGAAACAAGTATGCTAAGATATATTTTTCTTTCAATTAATAATGCATTCTCTATTTATAACTTCAAATTTTTGTATTGTCAAGATTATTTATGCCAGATTTATACTTGCAGCATTATACGAACTGGCATCCAACAATAAATCAGATTGATAAAAACATAAAAAATGATGAGAAAGAAGCATTTGTTCAAGCAGTTACACTGTTATGGACACTATGCGAAAATAATGAGCTGGCAATAAAGTATTCTAACGAAGAGGATCTGGTATCCATTTTAACAAAATTTTTTGATACTACCATTTATGGTATGGACATTGCTACCATTACTATGCAGTGTCTATTATCTTTGTCAGAAGATAATTCTGTTGCTATTAAGAAATTGAAAGATTGCGAAGATACACTTCTACAACTACTAAGTTTGGAGTCATGCAAGGCAAATTCCACTGAAGTAATTTGCCTTAAAACTGCTGTAACTGCACTGTTAATCAACATATCTAGCTATATGGGTACTAATTCTATGCGTATAGTTTGCAAAGCAATAACTGTCCTGTCTGAAACACTCTCTATTAATTGTAAACAACTGTTGTCCAAGTTAATATCAATTTTGCCTCACGAAAAAAATACGTTCTCAAATAGCCATAAAAAGACTGTACAGGAAAGTAGGAAGTTGTTTGGAGCCCAACAGCAAGCATTAGAAATTTTAGCTAATTTATGTTCAGATGATTTAGAAAATGAAAATAGTTCTGATCTGGAAAATTCAGATTGTGATATTGACGGTATAGATGATGTTTGCATGGATGATAAATTGTGTAAAATGAATTTATCTCTGTCTCTAGAAATAATCGAAGTTTTTAATAGTTGTGATATTGTTAAAAAAGTATGGGAGAAAACTATAGCAGTGGATAAAGATACAGTAGAGATATTGGAGCAGAATGTAGAGGGAAAAGCTATATTGCAGCAGATGCATATATTGAAGTGTCGTGCATATCTGTGTTTAAATAATTTAGTATCGAGTGTAGAAATTGATGCATTCGGCAGTTTGGAAGATATGTATAGGTAAAATATTTTCTTTTTTAATATTGGTTTGAGGTTACAATTTTAATTAAGAAAATCGGTTGATCGAAGAATATTTTTGAATTTTTCTTTTAGAATGTGGCTCAATATTGGGAAAGTTGTATTCAAAGATGCAGATCCAAATGACACTGAGCTTTTGGAATCTGCTACTGCAGCTATGAGGGCAATTCTTCAAAGATTATCCGAAGTAAAAGCGAATTTCTTCAATCAATTAACTTTAGACGACTTACAACCAATGTTGAATGGGGAACGCCAATGTACAAACGCTAATGTTCGAGCAAACCTGATACGAATATTAGGAAATTTTGCTTTAATTTTAATTAGTAATGAAGCTCCTGAATCTCGCGAACTAGTCAAAGTAAGATTTTTATATAAAAATTGATATTAAAATATCATCTTGAATTTCTCCTAATAGAAGAATATTTTAGCAAGTAACAGCGTTCTTATTGGATGCTTGTACAACGGAATCGAAAGTGTGGGTAATTGCAGAATCTCTGGATGCTATAATGGATATCTATGCAGAAGACGACAGTGACCTATTGGCAAACGAAGTTGAATTAGTAGGCAAACTGCACACTCTAATACCGGTATTTAAAAATAAGGTACTGCATTTTGAAGATGTGTATTTAAATAAACCGTCGATAGCATATATTTTATACTATTTTCTTTTAAATAGATGCGGCAACAGAAGAAGATTTTAGGAGATAACATGGCAATAGTGTCTACAGTAAATGCGAACATCACAAGATTTATCAAATACAAAGAGAGAAGAATGAGAAATATTTAAAAAAAAATCTGACACCATTAACTGGAACTTACTTTACTTCGTGTTTTTATATAACTATGAATATTTTGTCGAGAAATGTACTATCGCACATTGATAGACTAATAATATTTACATTATAGTTGCTATTAATATGCATTAATAGTTTCATTTCATTTTACGAGAATCTATAGGACAAACTCTGTAAATATTACAAATAAATGTACTTTGGGGTTCATAGCTTTTTTTTCTCAGTTCATAGGAAACCATCGAATGCTGACAATCTAGCTATTGACAGAGCATAAACTTAATCAAATTTTCCGACTTTATTCTGTAACAATAAATAACGAAAATACTAAGTAAATGGGAGGCGTGTACGATCACATAATAATCTATGCCCGAAGTCGATGAAATGATTGTTTCATCGCAGTATTAAGGCTCCAAGTACATAATACACATACTTTATACACTTGGTAACTCTGAATGCGAGTTGATGATGCTTCAAGGAGTTAACCAAGGATCCGTAAGTTTAAATAAAGGCACATGTACACAGTGTTCTAGACAGTCTTTAAAAAGTATTTCGACTAAGATCAACGAAGATGTCACGTTTTCATTCAATTTTCAAAGTCGAAACAATTGCACAATGTTCTGTACCTAGTCAGTCATCAGGATTTTCGTACTCTGGTATTCAAATTAAATCTCAAATATTTAAATAAAACAAAGATTTTACATTCTTCAGAAATATGTGAAATATGTTTTCACTTTTATTAAGAGAATATAATAATTTCTTTTAGGAGCTGTCCAACTTATAGTTTACGTCATCAGTGGCCATGAAATGTCTAAAATCTTTGCTTTTTTGATTTAAATATTCAAAACTTGTTACACAATTGTATACTTTCATGACTAACTGAAGGTATTATTATTGATGACTGTTCTAAAATGATTTTCCTCTGTTCTCGTTGCGATTGATCCGTTCCTCAGTTAAAATGATGGGGCTGGATCGAGTATCGTTTAGACTCTGCGCGCTATGTCTCCTCGGTTTCGGTATCGGATTGACATCCTCGACAATCTCCGCCATCTGCCTGATCGGCTCGGATATATGAAGCTCGATCACTTTCACCGGCTCCCTTGGAGCTGGTACGGGAATCGGTGAATCATTCAATCTCACCACGTGAATGTCTTTTTGCTCTCTAGGAAACTCCTTGAACTCTATCTTGATCGCTTCCTTCTCAGTATTGACGAAATTCTGGAAGAAGTGTCTGCGGTTTTCCTGAAGCAATTGCCTGGTGTTCCCGACGTGATCTTCCTCCGACTCTTTCATCGAGCTTCTCGCCTCGAGCTCCTTGATTTGCTTCTCAATCTTCTCGATCTCATCTTTTACGGAGAAACTGTCGCTCCTGGACAACGAATCCGAGGAGCTATTTTTTTTCAAACAGACTTCCTCCACTTCCGAAGGCGATAGTTCGTCAACTTCTTTCATGATCTCCACGTTCTCGCGAGAGTTCCTGCGATACTCAACCGGAACATCTTCCTCTACCTTCGTGGCGGTCTCTTCAGGCACAGTGGAGTCCTTGTTCTCGGATTTCTCTTTGTCATTTGTCGGAGAGCTTCTCAACTCGGTTTGCTTCTGTTTTTCTCCTATACATTCTGTCTCTTCAGGTAGTTTCTCGTCTGCGTTGATTTCCGTTGATGCAACGGTACTGTCCTTCGTCACACTCACTTCCGTAGACGAAGAGGCATCGGTAACCGACTCCGTGGATTTCTCGTCTTTCTCATCGACCTCGACGTCCAGGTCTTTGCTCTTCTTCGTCATCTCGTCGATGTTTTCGGTGACTCTCGCTATGTCGCTTGGCTCTACTATCTGAAGCTCGATGTTGGGGGCTTCAGCAATCTTCTGCAGAAAGTTGATAGATCAGTAAATGCTTTAATTATTAAGAAAACGTCTAAGTGATTACCTCGGTGGTTTCCACTTTTGCAGAAGGTCGTGGCGGCTGCGGTGCCCTCCGCTTCTTCCGACCGTACGAGCTCATCGTACTGCCAATGGAGGTGCAGCTGTTTATAGAGAGATTGGACTTTCTGACGGCGTCCTGGGTGAACCTCTTGAACACGTAATCATCGGGAACGTTCTCGTTCTCGTCGCAAAACGCCGGGTCTCCAGGTCGTCCCTCATCCTCAGAGTCCATAGCACTTTGATTCGCCCTCTGCGAGGCTCTGTTGCCGAATCGTCGCCTGAAATATCGGATCAAAAATAATAACATTTGGTCTGATGTTTCTTTAAGAAAAATTATGTCTTACAGAGGGGGTATGGGAGTTGTTTCTTGCGGTTTCTCACGGAGCGTCACACTTCCGTTCTCCACCATATCCTTGATCTCGTAGTCCAACGGTGGGATCTTGTCCGTAGGTTTTGGACTCACCTGGCCAAATCTAAACGAAAGTTCCTCAATTAATTCATGCCAACAAAAAGCACGATATCTAAGGATTCAAACATCCCGATCGTGTACCTCCTCGCCGGTGGTTTAGGTGTGAGGTCGCCCATGATGGACGTGGTCGTGTCCTGCGGGCTACCATCGTACATCCTCGCAGGATCACCGTTTACAGTTAAACTTGAGCTATACCTGGATGAGTTGTCCAAGGTGTATTTTCTCCTTCTCGCCAGAGTACCCAGTGCCTCGTTAAACTCCTCCTGGTCCTTCGTTGGTCGTATGGGGGCCACAGGGTTGGACTCCCTTTTGTAAGTCGACGAAACTGTTCAAGAAAAGGCCCATATACTTCCAAGAACAATCTTATTTTTCTGATTGATAATAATTTTCAGTCTCTCTAGAGACCGATAATGACAATTATAGTCACCTGTAGTGATCGTAGATCTCTTTTGCTGTTGCTCCTCCTTCTCGTCCTTCCGTTTTCCGAACAAACCGCTCCTGAGAGCAAATGATTCAATTTATTCGAGGGAAAGAGGAACAAATTAACAAATTCGCCGCTGGTTGGATGATAATTGTGTCGCTCGACTGGTGTTCCAGCGCGTTAAGGGATCTGTGTCACATCTGTACGCTGACAAGATGATGAGACTCTGCTTGTTGCCATGCTCTTAACCCATATAGCTCGTCTCGCAATTAGCGCCGGCCAACAGCGAGACCAGGCTCGGCGTCATCGGATTACGATACCGATTTCTACGATCTCCAACTCAAAACACAACTCCTCGCGGAACAGCCAGACTGATCCGACGACAAACACTGTTATCTAGAGGCGGGGACATGTTCAGTTTCCATTCATGATTCATCGTTTATTTGGAAGGAAAACAATGTGCAGCCGAAAGTGCAATACTCTATGAACCCTGCCGTCGCCAAGAGAGTTGATAAACGCGAGAGAATCGTCGTTTCAGCGAATCGAACAGTTCTGATAGCGGTAATAAATTCCCAGGACTCGCGAACGAATTTTGCAGCGTAAGAGGAACGAGAAAATAAACCTAGGGGCCATCGAACAGTATGATGCAGCCCTGCTGCAGCCTCGCAAGCACAAGATACATCCGGTTGCAGTACAATGTACATACAATTGCTAGTGCCTCTTCCAACGAAATATAGCATATATATATACACGATCACAAAGTAAAAGATCTACTGATCGCCGGTGCTCAATCCGATTCAGTGTGCGTTTGCCGTGCTTCGAACAGGACGGACGCAGATTTCTGCAGTGTAAAATGCTGATCTATGTCTTCGGTATACAGGGGGACGAATAAAAAACGGAGCGGACGTGGCTGCGTCGCCTTATGCGTCGAGATCTGCCGACGTCAGGTATAACATTTTCTTATTTTATCTGCGCTCGGTGTCGCAACAGGGCGAAAGCAGATTCGTGACGACAAGCGACGTCTGCTCTTACGCTCGAATCGTCATCGTCGCTCTCTCGTTTAACAAGACAAACTGCAAGCGATCTCTCGGACAAGAGTCACGGGGAGCAAATGGCACCAAATGGGAAACGATTTAACAAATTATGGGGACGATTCGCCCGGGGACAATGGAACTTCACGGTTCGCTTCTGAAGATAAGCCTCCGGGGACTGATTCACGGTCCAATATCTCCGGGACTTCTTTGAACTATTACGCGTTGCTCTTGATAAAGGATCTGCCCAAGTATTCGCGGGTTCTGCGACGCATCTACCAACATCGACACACAATATCCAACAGAAGTTGGTCGGTGTTTCCCGGACCGTTTGTCATAAGTCTACAAAAAAAAATCTAATCTGCTGTACAGCTGCGTTAGATCGAGATCTCGATCTTCGTCGACGTATGTGTTCTATAAAAATGTAAGATTTCGGAGGATGGAATCGATCGGCGCGGACGAGGATCGATGGCTGTGCTGCCTCCGCAGATGTTTAGAGAAGAATTGGAACGGAAAACATCCGCGAGAGCAGAACAACGAAAGTCCGAAGAACGGTGCTCTCTTTTCGACGAATTGGAGGAGTGTTTCGATCGGAGAAGAGCATGTTTTCGAAGCGAAAGGAAGTCTATAATAAGCGCAGGAAAGCTGCCGACTAATTTCCAAGCGGGTAATTACGCAGGAGAGCAGCACGAGCCGCGAGCGCTTCTTCAAATAGAAATCGCGAAGACCTTTTCGATGGAACTCGACCTGACGTCGATCGTCCGCTTCGTTATTTGTGTAGTTTGGATCATGGCCAGACGCAGGTACCAGCGAGCTATGTTCCTAGACCGGAAAGTTCAAGTTCAATAAACCCGCATCCTTCCCAATTTACTGTCGAATCAATTAAGAATAGGCTCGCGCGGATCTTGCATTCTCTAATGGGGTGTTATGATCGTTACCAGGTGGATTTGATGGAGAAGCTATTGGATCTCTTCTTCCTGCTTCTGCCGAACGTCCAGAATTTGTGTTTCGAGTCTTTAGACTTTGCATCCTGGTACGTGTGCGGCTGTATATTGTTCAGCTCGTCGTTGAACGGGTTTAAGTGTTCGGGATAGTCGTAGATGGAAACTTTGGGACGTCTGGGCTGCGACATGATTCGCTTTTCCTTCCGAAGAGTTCTCTCTCTCTCGAGGATTTTATCGCGGGAACCGCGTGCAATTGGTCGCGACTCCTCGTCAACGGAGTTCACCGATCTCTCGTCATGATCCTCTTGGCGGCTGCGACGAGCTGAAAATAGAAAAACGATCTCGGTCATTCTTGTTATTCAGAAACAAACAGTCCGAGTAAAAAGCTCCGACAAGAACAACGGTCACGCGGGCGCTTCGTGTTCAAACGTTTTCCTCCGTTGTCGCGTCTTGAGAGGCGCCTAACTTAACGAGCCGCATTGTAATTATAAGCGCGCGGAGTGTGAGTAATTTAATCTAGTAACCGAGCCGAAAGCATCGAGCATCAGGAATAAAGTCCAGACTTATTTTTAACGTGTTACGTGGACATGATTCCGTGGAAGTCGACGCACGCAGGAAGTGGAATCCGGCTTGCGTACGACGTTATGACAAACAATAGATTCTTCAATCGCATTTCCATTTTTTTCACAGATCAGTCTTGAGCACTGCGAAGACCACTTCGCAGGATCGGAAAGTGTGGTCGTCGGTAGCGTTTATCTTGCTCGGTTTATTGCTACGTGACGCGAATGTGCTACCGTCATCACAAAACCACATGTGAATTGCTCGACAGTATTCCGAATCATGTTCGAGGCTAGCAAAAGTGTTTTTTACAATTTGTCAGAAGCGATTCTGAAGGGATTCAAACATTCTTGTCGCAGTTGTCACTGTGTTAGCTCTGATTAACGCGTCAAGCGACGCGTGGGTCGACTTTCTACCCAGTTTTAACACCAACGAACATTGCACGTGTATGTCCCTTTAAGTTTTGGTTGGCACCTTCGATTATGCTAATATTTCTTATTGAATACATTAACGATTGATCCGCAGAATGCTCTCATAGATGTCAAATACAATACTGTAAAGACGTTAGAAGAATTTAACGATATTGTTACGTTATTCTCAGCTTAGTAGAATTATTAAAAGAAGAAAGATCCGCGGTCTAAGTATAATTGTTCTGTAGTTTTCCCGCCTGTTAACCATTTCCGTGTAACTTTTATAGCCTCTCGACAAGTTCGGTGATATTACAGGACATCAAAGATAGCAAATGCAGCAGTGACACGGCCCATTCGTGGCCCACGCACGAATGGAAAGTCGGGTGAATCAAGCTCGACGCTGAATGCATTAGCAGAGCAATGGGCAAGCACCTCCATCGCGAAACTTCATTTCCTGTCGATCGGTTCACAGGCGGAAGGACTTACATCGAGGAACGAAGATGGATCAGAAGGAAGCGATTCGGAGAGCTGCGAGTATAATTGCTGGCCGTGCATGCTGCGGCCGCCTCGTTATGCCAATTGTCGGTTCGAATCGACGGACCCGCGACTTCTCCAATTGGCCATCATTGCGGACCAATATGGTTGCGAAACGAGGATGAAGCCTCGCGGGTTAATCCGTTAAACTCGGAAACATATGTGACCCCCCAGCCGACCCGATCGAAATCAAATATGAAAACAAATTGAACGTTCGATCTCTGTCAATTGCGTTTCTGTCCGGCTCGACCAACGAAACCGAAAGGAATTGAAGTCTAAGGCTTGGAACGATCGCCTCGTGAAACTAATTAACCGTGCGCCTCAAGATTTCTCGCACGCCACGCGAAACACGATGCCGTCGCCGTTAACCCAGTTAACGAGCCATCTAATACTAGATTACGAAAATAGGGAACACGGTGCACATCGTTTACGCAACACGCTGTTCGATGATGCGTCTTGATTACTGTACACACGTAATTCCAAGTCGGATCGCACGCTTTTCCTATTCGCATTGACACACGCCTCCCTCCTGCAGCTCGATCGCGTGTCATTCTGATCGATCCGATCGCGGATCTTCGCGCATCTGCAACGCGATCGAGCCTGCGAAATGCCAACATCGAGACCTTTAGCAACTTATGGCTTTGTCTCTCTTTTGGACCAGGTTTAGGTGGACCAGCGGGACACGATTCACGCGCGTTAATGCAACGACCGTTTGAAAATTCGTATAATGCACTTCTAAGGTTCACTGGACCAGCAGATGGAGATCTAATTTACAAATAGACTGTGGACATTATAATAAAAAGTTTGACGAAATGTCATGCAAGATTCTCTTATAGCGGACATATTTCTGTGCGTGAAACATATTTCTCTTTTTCAGTCTATAAACGTGTCCATTTTCCGAAACATCTGCAGTCTATTTACGGCTTTAGTGAGTCTAGCATGCAGTTGCGGCAGTAACTGCATACACAACACGGCTGCAGACGCGCAGCATAAACAATCATAGCGACATTGAACGTTCACGAAACCTTGACCAACGATAATTGCACGTTAGTTTAAGCACGAAGCGCTGAATTTCTCTTCCGCCTGAGAGTTTCGTTTGTATAAAACGGTACTTTCTAAAAATCCTCGGTTCATCCAATTGCGAGCCGTTAATCGGCGTTCTCAGTTTAGATTTCCGAACTGTTGCACGCCCGCAGGAAGAAATGCTTGGGAATAATTAGCCGTGCCACATGTTCGCCAAGCGGGAACGGGAATGTTACGCGAATTAATGTCGTACCGGTGGCGATGTTCGTCCACGAAGATGATCGCGGCGAGAATTTCAGCGATGAACAGAAGGTAACCGACGTATCTCGCGGTTACGAAGAACGCGACTAACGAACGCAATTAGCTCAATTAGCTCATTGCACTCGCAGTTTGCTTCTGATCCGAAGCTCGTCGATGGACGAGCGGCCGTACACAATCCTCGGCAATTACAGTCTGCGATACGAAAGATTACAACGAAGCTTTTAGTAGCAACAGTCCAATAATTCTTCGTGCTAGCAAAGTCGACTGAAAATAATCTTGTCTATTGGCTATCTTTGGTCGATTCGAGCATAGTGGACACAGGCTGATCATCCGGGAAATCAATATTGAATTTCTCTGTAAGCGTGATAAGATGGCCTCATTGTTTACTGTTTTTCGTACGCACTAATTACCGAGACGGTCGGCACACGTCATTAATCAGAGAAACCGTTTCACGCGGTCAAGTGTTCGCGGAAGCATTTCAGGGCTGATGGCGTTTGAATTTCTGAGCTCGCGATCATCGAAAAGTAGTAAAGAATCGCTTGCAAAACTAACAGTCCTATTATACGATTATGCTAATGTTTCTTGTAATCGCTCTCGAGTGTGTTGATAATCCTCCACAGCATCCGCATGTGGTTGCTCATTTAAAAACGAGAGACGCGCGATGAACGAGAAATCGATGAATAATAATTTAACACTCAACAGCATTTGAATTCGCGACCTAACATCAGGAACTTTGATGGCATTACTATGGTTACGTAAATAAAATTAAAGTAAATTATAAATGGAACAACCTTTCATCACCAATTTAGGATAACCAATAAATCGTGGTCACCCATGTTGGTTACCTTCAAGCTGGATCAATTCTCGGATCGATTTCCTTTCGAGAAACCAATCCCCATAGCGTTCACCAAGTTTTCACCTTCTTGACAGATACGAAAAGATCGCGTACGTGTGTCGATTCCACGCAGAACAATACATTTAGCTAGCCGTATTAATGGCCGTATCTGACAGCTTAATTCGACGTCGTTTCAAGAGTTCCCCTGTTTAACCGTTGGAAGGACAATTCAGACAAAGTCAAGTTAATTTGCAGCTAATTTCCATCGAACCCTTAACTCGTAACAGGCTTTCGCCACCTGATACTCGCGCGTTCCTGAATCAAACTGGAGGAATGCTTCTATTTCCGTGAAACGACGCGACGCTCGAAATTCGGTCAGAAGGTTCTAGTTCCTTCAAGCATGGGATCCTCGCACGAAAACCCACGTACACGACCTCGGAGACATTGACAAAAGGCTGTTCCAGTTGCGCAACATGCAAAACTGAAATTCTGGCCGATAAATCTTATCCGAGCGGTTAGAGTTCGTCGGTTCTGCCGGTCGGCCATTATAATCGCATTATGTCGTGATCTGATTATCGCGGCCGCTTCGATTACACTAATTTTATACGGTTCAAGTGCTCACTCGCTGCGGCAAGGACACAACTCCCTGTTCACCGACTTTTACGTCACGAACTTCTTCTATTGTTTTTCATCTATTCAAACTAGTTTCGTAGTTCAATGAAATACTTTTCTGTTGTGTTCTCGTGGCAGCATGTGGGCGATTTATTCGCAGAGGCGCTTCACAATTTCGGGCACCGAGATTTAGCCTGCAATCCCGCCCGATCGACCGAGATCCTAAAAATACTTTCGTAAATCCCGTAGTATCCGTGTTTCTGGGTGAAAGCCAGAGATCTGTCGCATGTTCGCCGCCGGATAGTCTCTGTTGTCAACAGCCGGTCTTTTTCTTTCGGTTTCCCGGTCTTCTCGACTTTAGACTTTGTCCTCGCGCTCATCGATCTCCATCACAGCGAATAGTCTTTCGTAAAAGAGTATAATACGCGTTCGCTGTGCTCCTAAAACAAGAAAGAAAAACTCAAGATCGGCGCATCGACGGTCGTAAAAAAAAAAGAGATATGTATTCCAATGCGTCGTAAGCCGATTGCAACGAGATGCATCCCGGAGTGTTGTAATCGCCACAGATAGTCGCGAAACTCTCCTCTACCATTCTCTTGTGAGCAGGTCTCATTTAGTGTCTTTAGTATTTCCATGCTTCGCCAGTTTCCCAGGTGATGTGTATTGCTTCTAAAAAGAGCGAAGCATGCTAACCAGCGTACAAAGACGGGATTTCTTCCTAGGAAACGCGTGTCCTTTTCACACGCGTTGCGTCACCGAGACCAATGTAATTATACCCTCTTCTTTTCTTCGCTTTATTTGCCCGTTGAAACACGCTTCCTTTCAATAGAAGACCGTCAGCTGTTACCGACTACATTTGCTGTCAGCGTAGATTGGTCCTCGTTACTTTGCCATCGAGGTGGATCACCTGTGATTACAACGTGGATGTAACGGGGTGCCTTCTCCCCTCCGTTTCGCGACTGTTCAAACGCTGTATCGACGTTGACTTCGCGATTCTTTTGACGGTTGGTTCACGGTCCCTTCGTGCTGGCCGGTAATTATGGAAATATCGATTGGAACTTCCGTGCATTGCCTGGAAGTCGCAATCGTAAAATCTACGAACGAACACACTTATCCTTAAGCGTGTTCCTTGCGGCGCGGCGGTGGCTATTTCGCGGCAACTCGTGCCACGAGCCCGAGTCACGGATGCCAGAGATTCTCAACTATGAAAACTGGTTTCTTTATTATTTGTTGTGTGACGTTGCATCGAGCGTCACGTGCGCGACCCCCCCTCGGCCCCGCTTCGGGTAAAACGATATCTAAAACGATTGCAACATCCGTATCTGGCTTCCTTCAACAGGTGATCGATTCCCGCCGAGAAACGGCCGACGTGATTTTAAAACTCCCTCTCGGCGCTTTCGTTCTTCGACGAGGAAATGAGCACCACCGTCACACGTAAAAATAGAAACTTAACAGTTCTGTGTTCGGCGGGGGTCCCGATCGAATGCCCAAACAATTCGCCTCGAAAATATACTCCATCCCCGCAAAGTGGCGCCATATATTCTCGTCTTGAAAAGAAAAAACGAGCTCGCCGAGTCCGAGATAGTTCTTATCGACAAAAAGTCTACAAGAAAATAAAAAAGAATGAGTGTCGCGCCGATCGTCCGGTAAATTTCCTTAGAAATTGATAAGAGGAAGTTGCACTCCCACTTAAACCTGCCTGGGCATTCGCGATGGTTAAATATTCCTATCTTCTTATATAACTAATTCACGACTAATCGTTTAATGGACAAACGTAGTCAAAGTGTTGGTAATCTGAGTAAAAGTGGTGGACGTGTGTTGCTTTGTAAGAATGATCAGACTGAATTTACTTAGATTTTTCGCTATCTTTCCGACGGAAGAGTCTTTAGAATATCAACAATTTTCAAATAGAAAATGTGAAAGCGATTGTACCGACCGACACGTTAGGTTTAGTGAACAGTGACTAGGTTGCTAACAGTGCATCTAGGTTTTTCTTAATGCTTACGCGTTTATTACAGAAGATAATGTGTCTAACCAGCGACCGCCATCCTCTTTTCGTGCGTGCTCTTTCGGTAACTGCGCGCAATCGCGAAAAACGTGGAGGGCTCTGATAAAAATAGCTGATGGTTTCGATAAGGAGACGATACCGTGGTGGGTGAAAAGGTCGTAGGATCAAGAAGAGCCCGAAACGTGTCCGGTTAAATTATACGCGTCATGTAGGTCACTGAATCGCAACTCGAAATTATCGTGTATGAGTTACGCTATGCCGTACCGGTCACGTATCGCTCGACCACGAAAAAGAAACCGCTCTTCGTCTTCGTTTGTTCGGCTCCGATTGCCTCGAGTACCCTCCCAATTTACTACTCCGCGTAAGTACCCGGAGTCCTTAGCCTTTTCATTCATCGTTTGCCCGGTTATTCATTGATCCTGAAAGTTTTCCCGAGTTCATGTTGCTTCCGGTTCTCTGCCGACTTGCTTCCGCTGTCTAATAAAGTGTAATGCGTAGCATGAAATCATCTACACCGTTATCCACGAACATCAAACGCTTCCACGAGCAAATCGCGACCGGCAATCCGTTTAACCGCTGCGCAAAAAGTACGGGCCATTTTCAAATTTTCTCTCTGCCAAAATGGTTTCGGAACAGCTTAGGAGTTTATCTTCACAACGACGGAATCGTTTTATGCACACACACGCGTACGCTGTAACACAAACATTTACATCAAACATCATGGAATCACACCTCTGATAAAAATAATTTTCAGTGATAAAAAATATCTCTACTCATCCTTGTTTGTTTCCTCTTGATCCTATTTGAGCTAGTATTTTACAACAGCACACCGAATCTCGCACATTCATCCTTCCATGTAATTCAATTATTATTATTATTATTATATTGAATACAATAATCAATACCATACATTCGTCGTTATATATGAATTAACAATATTATTGTTACCGTCATATTTATCGAAACAAGCTACGCGCCTCGTTTTCGAAAGAAGCGGGAGAGCAACTCGAAAAGCGCGCGCCATTTTTCAAAGAAGAGCGAAAATTTGAAAAGCGCGCGCTTCCCTTTGCAATTACAAAATCCATTCCGCGACAATGAAATTCTTACAGTTGTTTCGCTCTTGATCAATTGCCGTAGCATACATTCTTGTCTTTACACTATCCATACATAGAATCGCACAACTTCGCGGAACGTGACAGCGACAGCGTTTGATACGAAACAAATTGAGAAATTCATGGTGCAATGTGGAAAGCATCGTTCCGGGCGCATCGTTATTGTGCTCGAAATTCGTTTGATCGATCACTGGCCGGTCGATCAAACTGCGGAACTTCGGCATGTATAATCCTGCGACACGCTTCTAGGCTATTTTTGTTACTACGCGAATCGTATAACGATTTTCGGTTCGCGTGCATTTTCATCTATCGCCACACCGCGGATCTCTATACACACTTAACTATTAACACGGGTTGATTTTCGTGAACGAAAATTGCCCGACGATATAGTCTCCGTACCAAGGATATCATTATGTTAAAAATAAGTAGTAATGCTTCGTCAATATTTCATAAAAACTGTATATTGCTTCAGTCCCCGCAATTCGGCCGTTCGATTATCGATACCGGTCAGTCGGAGCCTCTCCGTTTATCGTAACAATGAAACCGTTAACTTTCTTGACAAGTCGGTCGGATTATCTAGACAATAATATACCGAAGATATTGTCAATGTTGTAAGACTTACGTAAGTGCTCCTAGATGACAAGTGGCTCAGGTATGCACGACAGGTGAGGGGACTCGGTCGGTGTTAATTGTAGAATCCGGCGAGGTTATCTCGGGAGGCACAGGTTGTCGTTTACACTGAGAACGATACACCGTTTTAAATAATCGAAAAGAGAGAACACCATCCACACAAGAGATTCGGCGTGTGACAATTGTGACATGACAAACAAAACGCGGTCCCGCGACGACGTTCGCCGGTCGACTGCACCGAGTCCTGTACGCTGAGCACAATCGGACGTCTTCGCCGAACTTCGGTGAACTCCGTAACTATTCGAACGCCGCGGCAAACTTCGCGCCTGCCGCGCAACCCGCTTTACGCCTGCGCAATTGGTCAACATTTCCACGCGACGGAATCTTTAAATTCGTAGAGCAGTCGATTTTTAAATCATTGTCATTTTGTAAACAATAGTCGTACAATAATAAACCTGGTTTCATTTCAAAGCTTGAAGCCTCTAGTTTTGCCAGGGAGCGTTCATTTTCTTGCAACATGTTTTTGTATAATACAGCAGGCGGGAAACTCGAAACATGCTTTTTCTTGAAAATATTATGTATCGAAACGTCGGTAAATGCATTCGAAAATTTGTTTCGTGACTGATCCTTATACAAATTTGAAGATCGAAATTTTACCTTTATATTGATCCCTATAACACACTTAGGTGTACGATCGTTTTTTAGTTACTTTATTAAGCTTTTAATGAAAGGTGTAAGTATTTTGCTATAACAGCAAATATGATAAGCTGTAGTGTAGCAGCCGACAGAAGGACCGTTTCGTTAGCTCATTAAACAATCGTTGAAAACAGAATGAATGAAATCCGTGTATTGTTTAACAAAATAGATCTGTATGTTTGCGAGCGCTGACTAATGCTAATTGAATGCGCACATTGCAGATGCAGGTCTACTATTTACGTAGGCGTTAGTGGAACGTGCATAGAAAGTTGTAAAAGGAAAAATGCAGTATGTGGGTAAATAGTGGGATGGCTCACCTCGGACGAAACAAAGATCGTCTCTGATCTATTTCTACGCTATCTCTAACTTGTCCGGTGGAAAGTCGAGCGAGTCCGATAAACCATTTAATAGCATGCATATTTAGCAAGAGCGAGGAATGAAGTAAGTATCCAAACATGACCGTGAATCATCGTAACATCTTTTCACGTCTGAAAACAAAAATAAATTCAAATCAGAAGAATGATTTTCGTTAACATTAACGTTCGTTAACGTTAACACTAATTTTTGTCCTAAGTATTTGTACACTTTAATATAATTTCTCCAATATCTTTTAAGTAATTACTGTTTCATGTGAACGATGTTGTGCTTTGGAATTCGACAAGACACGAATTCCATTATTCAAGTATCGCGAGGCTAATTTTCGAGTTAAATTAGTCCGACAAGTGATCTGAGTAAGGGGAGACTCGAATGTTATTATTCAATATATTTCGTTGTTAACTCTATCGTTCATTTCGTTCGTCGAAATCTGCGATCGCGGATCGTAGTATGTCAATATCGATAATGGCGAAGGCAAGAAGCGAGCTAATCTTTTCAATTCGTCGGTTATCTCGCGAGTATATGAAAAATTTCGAAAAGAACAAGCACAGCATATAGCAAACGACGAGCGTGGTATCGTACTTCCGATAGACGACTTTGTATTTCGATCGATGACGGTGCCGTGACTCCGCGAATTTCGCATAACGAAATGCAAATTTCGCCTTATCGTCTTTTCCAATTTCCAAGCGGTCGAGTTCTCCCGTGGAAAAAGGTTTCGTTGATCGCCGACTGCTTTCTACAGAGACAAAACCGTTTTAGAAAGTGACGATGGCGGTCGACGATGACAACGCTCCGTCAGAATTATTTTTAATCGCGGATTCACCGCCTAACGAAGCAACAACTCGCGATTCGATAGCCGGGCAGGGTGTAGAGCTCCGCTCTTGGTCTCGATCGAATTCTCTCGGCGATCGTATCTAATAAAACTGATAAGATAGGTGTTATCGAGCTACGTTTGCTCATGGCATAATGTTTACGGTATCCCGATCATAGATAAATACTAACAAGTCGCGAAAAGTGGAGTATTACGCAACCCTCTCGCTGGTTTAACAATTTCGTGGGGGCTATAGTTTCAGGAACGAAAATAGAATGATCAACCTCTTGACGGATATTAATCGCCGCCGTCGTGATAGAGATCAGAGTAAAAGCAACGTTTCTGGAATCCTTGGTGGCAAATGTAACCTGGAACATGCATAATTCAGTAATACCGTAAATAGTTTCCATAAATTGGTTTCATTTTTAACTGGATGTTATTTAATAATTGTTTAAACGTTGTTCGAGCATTTGTAGCGAATAAATTGCTTCCCACATGCACGTACAATAGTAAATAAGTGGCAGTTATCATCCAAAGGATTGTCCGGAGCTTCTCTGGCCGAATATCTAGCGCAGTGAAACGAATTTGCGCGCACCCATGATGGATCGTTGATGGATGATGACCCTGAGCGACAGGCTCCGGAGGGCGCAAAAGGAACCGTGAATCTGTTGAAATCGTTTAAGATGTTATTACGACATAATTCATGCATTGTACGTGTCAATAATGAAGACGCCTTTCATCGCTATCCGACCCAATAAAGCCCAGCTCGAAAGTCGTTACGAAAATGATCGCGATGCGGAATGATATAGAAAGTTCATTGCACAAAGACCCTTTATCGACTAACACGGCAATCGACCCAATAACGTATTGATAAATATAATCAGTCTCGTTTGCTCTTCTCAACCATTATACAATCGCTCAAGCCGCGAATACGAAAGCATCTTCTACTCGCGTCAACACGCTGTAACACAAATATGAGCTTACAGCGTGTTGATGCGAGCATTTTTATTAGCACGGAACTCGATCGTCATGAAAACGGTGAGACAGAAACACAAATATGAACTCTCTGTCTCACCGTTTTCATGACGATCGAGTTCCGTGCTAATAAAAATACGTTTCCACTAAATACATGCAACCGTTTCAAGGTTGTTCTCGGATTTTCTGCATGTACGGCGCAAGCGACGGTTATCATCAATCTTTCGAGACGTTTCCATTGAACATTGATGAAAATCTTTCTGACTGATCCCATTAATGCCGGAAGCCCAGTAATGAGATTTTTAATGACTGTATTATATAAAAAATCTCCAAAGGAGTTGTACGACTACGTCATTGCGAATAATGTATTGATTCGCTGAGGAAACTGTAACTGTAAATAATAGGTTTTTAAAAACTATAGAACGTTTCGAAATATCGGCCATGGGGTTTTATCGTGGCGAAGAAACTTCGTTCTTGCCAGACCTCATTGAAATCGAATTAAGATGTATCGCGATCCATCTTAATCGAACAATTCGCTGTGCGACCTATTTGCATCGTCTTGACACGAGTGCATACAGCTGCACCGATGCAGAATTTCTCTGGTAGCGCGGATCGTGTCAAGGCGAGTCACAGAAAACGAAACCGAGCTTTCAAGCGACATTAAACCATCGAACGAGCGGACTAATGTCGCTAATTGAAGAGACAATGATGTTACAGCGAGTTGCAGATTCCAAATTTGAAAGCATAATTGACTCGATTATTTATCGCATAGATTCAACAATATAAAAATTAAAGTGTACTAAAAAGTACAAATTCAAGAGGTGGTACGCTCTAGCTTACGAGCGGCACAATTACCTCAATTAAAAATTACAGAGATTAACAGAACGTTGACAGGGCAATCTGTTCGCGTAACAATGATATTACGTCGGAAATAGCGAAGACATCATTGCTTATCTCGATTCTTCAGCGTAAACAATAATCTCCGTTTACATTACGACTATACAATAAGATATAGCCATACATACGTAGCTGGCGCTGACAATGATTCATAAAGAAGTTTTCTAGCATCTGCACGCAAGATGAAAACGGTGAACGCATGGATACATTATTAATGGACGCGTGAAAACGCGAAAATGATGCTGGTCGCAGTGCAGTAATTGTTATGTAACAACAGCAGAAATCGAGACCGAACTCGTGTATGGACGAATACGTGACTCGGTTGACACGTACCAACCACTGAGTATGCAAATTTAACTGCAGGAAGATCCGTTTGTTAAACGTCCCGAAGGTCTCGCGTTGGCCTACGCAAATTTTTCAACCAACGCGACTTGTATACCTGAAAAAATGCAACTTTTACTCGACGATACTTGAATCACCATAAAAAAAAATGAATAAGCCATAATTTATCACCTCCGTAAGTTTTACAGGTTATAAATTTGATTTTAGTAGAATTATGGTATTTACAGATTATAATTATTCTAATTCGATGGTAGACGCGTTAACTATAACCATAGAAAAACCATTTCGTTTTTCAACATGATAGTACGTGAAACTCAAGAACTAAAAAAATAGGTATTACGAATTACTTTCATTATAGAATTACGTCTTTTGTTATTCGGCGACTGCTATGCATTTTATCCAAACTTACAAGCTGTTCGTTCATATAACGAAATCAATCTTCCTTCAAAAAGGCTGTTCTACCGTAGACAGAAGGGGAGAATAGAGTCCACCACTTCTAGTTAATTGTGGACTAAATCAACTGCTTTACCGACCCAGAAGTTGAATACAGTTGTTCATAGACGTGAACCTCAGCTCCATGGTTCTACTTCTCTCTTACAATTACGTATGTACAACAATCTGTTTTCTATCGTGAACTTTCGTAATATATTAACGATCGTTTTATATATACTCAGTTTTCCAAAAAAGATATTCGTATAATAGTTCATCGAAAATGAATGAATGGGTACAAAAAAATCTATCCGAACTCTTAGATTTTCCTGTTATAGAAGATATTGTAACGTAAGAAAATTGGCTATAAAATAATATTGTAAATAAATCAGTACGATACAATCATTTGTTTTCAGATATCTTACGAAAATAGAAAATGAGAGAGATTTAGACGAGGCCTTGTATAATCTGTTAGATCGTACTAATCCTAGGCACGAGAAATTTATTGTAGACTTCAAAAAACAAGGTTTGTATCTTTGATTCATGTAACATATTTTCTAAACCAGGTATATTCACTGTTGTTGTTTCTAGCATTAAACAAAGATCAAGGATACAAAAGACCAAATAATGTAGGTAATGAATGTACAAAACAAAATGGAAAGAAAAAAGGAAAAGTTAAATCAAAAGAGAAGCGAGAAAACAAACAGGTATCCAAAAAGGTTGGCGTAGTTTGATACTTTGAATTGTAAATTGACCAGACATTATTTGTTTAGTTTCAAGAAAATGTAAAGGTAGAAAAAATAGAAAAAAAGAAAATTAAGTTTACAAATTTGTATTCATCAGATGGCAAGGATGGACAAATAGTTTTGTTAAAAGGTACTTTCTATGTCAGGATTTCAGAAGTAGTGTATATTTAATATTCATTTGTTCTATGTTCCTCATATTAATGTAGAAATATTTTATTAGGCAGACATAAATGTGATTGCGAAGCAAGAAGACATGCATTAATCAACAATTGCCAGAGTTGTGGAAGAATAGTTTGCATGCAAGAAGGAGCAGGCCCTTGTCTTTTTTGTAATCAGCTTGTATGCTCTCCAAAGGATCAGATGATCCTCAGTAAAGATACCAAACAAGCTAGTGTAATATATAATAAGTTAATGAATCAAAAACCAGTCAAAGGAGTCGAGGAATCCATCAAGCAAAGAGATAAACTTCTTGAATATGATCGTTTTGGGTATGTACTGTGTATGCTTTCTTAAGAGACAAGATAATGTTATTTATTATAGTACACAGGGTACAAAGGTGATCGATGATGAATGTGATTACTATCAAACAAGCAATATTTGGATGTCGAGTAGTAAAAGGGAATACCTACAAAAATTAGAAGAAGAAAAAAATGCAAGAAGACATATGTCCCGTCTGAATAAAAAAATCAATATTACATTTGACATCATGGGTAGAGAAGTAATTGAAGAAAAGGAATATGATGATTTTAATGAAGATCAGTTTATAGACATTTCTGATATAGACATTACTGAATTCAGTAGCCACAATATGTGTTCGGATATAGAATGTGAACGTCCGATTGTAAGAATATTATTAACAACTTTGCATATATATCAATAACATTTAAATTAGTAAAGAATATCATATTTTTGCAGTATGTAAAATCTAATGAGTCTGAATTGTGTATGACTAGAAGCAATGTTTCATCTGGAATACAAAACATTATTCAAGACAAGGAATATTTAGAAATGTCTGATTTGGGAGTATGTTTGAGCATGCATCAGCCATATGCATCTCTGTTAGTAGCTGGGATAAAAATGTAGGAAACTATGTAATGACATCTTTGAATGTATTAAAAAAAAGACGAAGTTTTCATACTCTACTGATTTTATAGGCACGAAGGACGAACTTGGTACAGCACACACAGAGGGAGATTGTGGATAGCTGCAACAGCTAAACAACCAACTAGAGATGACATTTTGAGTCATGAACATTTCTATCGCCTTATAAAGAATGGTTGGTACTTAATTATTGCATATTACGCAATTATCCATTATTAACAATATCAATGTTTTTAGATAACATCGCATTTCCCGAGAGTTATCCGATTAGTTGTTTACTAGGCTGTGTAACCGTGACGGACGTTTTACCTCAAGAAGAGTACAGAAAAGTTTATCCAAATGGAGAGAGTGATAGTCCATATGTCTTCATATGCGAGAATTTTTACTCATTACCAATGAAATTTCCAATACAAGGAAAGCATAAAATTTGTAAGTAACATAAAATTATTAAGCTGTGTTTAGAGTTGAGGATATTAAATTGAAAAGTTTAGAATTGATATTATTTCTCACAGATAAGTTGGACTCAAAAATACATCAAGCAGCTGTTAAAATGTTAGAAAAAGCTATGAAAAATTCTTTCTAATAATGGAGTACTTGTTTAAGTAATAATGAATGAATTTTCTAAA